CTTATAGTTTCGCACGTTCACACGGTTTTCAAATTAATGTTTCAAATTCCGAAATGCCATTCACATGCATCTCTCATCTGTCTCTCTACCTCCCATAGATATAAGTGTTTTCGGCATACAGTAGAGTTACTAAGGAAACTGGGTCGTTGCCACCGGTCGAACATTAAGCTTTATTTCACTATAATTAACACGGTTATAACCACGTAGGTCGTTATATATAATTTCCACAAATCTATAACAGAAGTTTTTTTGTTTTTTGGTGTAATACGAAATGATGAAAGATAGTTTCTGAGAATACACATTAAACTTTGTGTCACTAACTGGATCATCGAGAATAATACATATTAGTATTACGCGACCACGTGGCTCTGAAGCGTCTCTGTCATTTTAAAATTATATGCCAATTTCAACGTATTTCAGACGTACAGAGTTCAAAAGAGAATCCTTGGGTTGGTAAAATACATTGTTTCACTGTGGAATGAATGTTATTCCATACCGAATGAGCCCTTACTGGTCCGGCATGGCTAGGGCGCTCTATCTCGGATGTATATGCCGCTTTTCAGCTATCCGGAGCGTCCTAAAGTCGAACCCGGCATGGCCAGGTGGCTAGGGCGCTCTATACAAACCATCAGTAGCTATACATGAAGAGCTACTTGGCACAGTCGCTCTACCTCGGATGTATATGCCGCTTTTCAGCTATCCAGAGCGTCCTAAAGTCGAGCCCCGCATGGCCAGGTGGTTAAGTAGCTCGACTCTCAATCTGCAGGTCGTGGGTTCGAATCCCTGTCCCACCAAACATGCTCGCCCTATGAGGCGTTATAATGTGACGGTCAATCCCACTATTCGTTGGTAAAAGAGTATCCCAAGAGTTGGCGGTGGGTGGTGATGACTAGCTGCCTTCCACTGCTAAATTAGGGACAGCTAGCGCAGATAGCCCTCGTGTAGCTTTACACAATTCCAAACGAAACGAGCCTTTTCTAATAATGATAAATTGTATTTTAACAGCACTAATAAATGATAATTATAAATATTTTATGGTATAAACACATTTCTTATCGTTATATTAAACTTGAGCTAATAAGGTTGTGATAAACAATGAATTCAGTCTCAACAACCAGGTAGACGTACAAGTTACACAGATGTTACAAAAGACTTACAATGAAAGAAACCGACATCGAACAATAGCTATCTATTCTGACCGTCTCGTGACTGCCCTCGAGGGCATGTGCTCGGCGTGATCGTTGTCATCTCTAATTCAGAATCATTTTCACCTTTAGCGTACAATAGGCACCTCGGGCAAGTCAGCACGATCTGGGTGCCGACTGCATCAGAGATACAATGGTGGTTCCTGCTCATACACCAGTTTTTCATATCCTGCCGAAACCTGAAAAACAGTTCCTGAACACGAAACCCAATCAGAGGCATTATCCTATCCAAACCGAGACCTCGATCTTCCCAACAGATGTACTTAACCTTTCTTGGTTTCCAGTTCAGGAACAACATAATTACCACAACACCATGAATACATATGAGAAACTTTAATATTTAATTGTATTGATTCTTACTGATGGCTAATCTTTATTTGGGTCGTTTTTTACTAACTGATTTTTAATCAGATCGCATCTAAGTGACTGATCTTTAATCAGATCGCATCTAACTGATTGATCTTTAATCAGATCGCTTCTTATTGATTGATCTTTAATTGTATTTCAGTTAGATGCGATCCGATTAAAGATCAATTAGTAAGAAACGACCCAAATAAAGATCAGCCATCAGTAAGAAGCGTAAGAAGGAATACAATTAAAATCGATCGGTAAGAAGTGATCTGATTAAAGATCAATAAGTGATGGCTAATCTTTATTTGGATCGTTTCTTACTGACTGATCTTTAATCGTATCGCATTCTACTGACTTATCTTTAATTAGATCGCTTGTCACTGATGGATTTTTAATCGATCGAATAGCATCTTAATTGTGTTGTTTCTTACTGCCTGATATTTTATCGGATCGCTTTTTTACTGGTTGATCTTTATTCAGAATGTTTCTCACTGACTGATATTTTATCGGATCGCTTGTTACTTGTTCGTCATCAAATAAAATACTTTCCACGTATTTAAGAGTTTATTACGTCTGAATTTTGAGTTGAAAAGTAAATATACAACAAGTACTTTATTCTTCACTTTCCAACTTAGACTCTATTCCAAGTTTGTCACACGACACCCGACCGAGAATGATTTGTTTGTTTTTAATTCGCGCAATGCTACTCTTTCTCGATGACCTAGCGTAGCCTGGTGGTTAGGGCACTCGACTCGAAACCTGCGAGACACGAGTCTTTGCAGCCATGAGGACATTATATTGTGACGGTCAATCTCACTCTTAGTTGATAAAATTGACGGTGGATGATGTTGACCAGCTGCCTTTTCTTTAGTCTATCACTTCAAAATTAGAGACGGCTAGTACAGATAATTCTCGAAATATCTTGAAAAGGCTTAACTTGGAATGATGTTTAACAATAAAAATGTCCGTTTTATTGTGAAAAAAATAACAACAAATAACTGATTTTATGCGTAATGTCTGTCACACACATATGCGTGTGTGCGTGCGCGCGCACATATATAAAATATTTACTTTCTGCAAACATGTTTGCCATCTTAACATATTTTAATCACAATAATATATGAAAAAGTACCCAATAATATACAAGACACAGAGGACTCTTACAATATCCAAAACAATATGGTTATATCACACAACTTACATTATTTTAAATTTATTGTTACCGAACGTATTCTACAAATACTTGACGTACATTATTGATATTGTTACAAGCTATATGTTCACTGTTTTAATTTGTTTGTTAGCTAGAGGGAACTGCGGGTCATAATAATGACGTTAAGATGGAGAGTTTAATAAAACAGGCCTAGAACGCTTAGAAAGTTCTGAAAATTTTACGTCAAGGTTTCTAGTAAATTCGAGAGCAGATTGTCAATATAAGGTTTAGAGAATTGTTTCTAGTCGGTATAGTAAATCAGTTAGTATGTTTTAGTTTCAATCTGAGTTTTGTTTTTAGTGAAATATTTCGATCTGTGTTAGCTATGGCACATATTGAGTTGTTTTATCGATCAACCGTGAAGTAAAAGTAAGTTTTTTTTGTATGTCAGTGTGGTGCAGTTAGCAACACTTATATAAGTTACAACATTGTTCAAGTTTTGAAGAATGAAAGAAACGAATTTGTTATTGTTACGTGGACTGGACTGTGAATTACTCTCACCAGATACTTTAAAAGAACCCGACAACGAAAGAACAACGTTACAAAAATATAGTCCCCTAAACATATGCTATGAAAAATCAAAGAGTGAACGTTAAAATCATAAACTATGATGCACACAGAGAAACATAATATGGACAAATGGTGTTAAATTGATAACAACAATAGCAACAAAAAATTAAAAGTCAAATTTTCTAACTCTGCCGCGAAATAAGAAAAACACTAGAAGCTTACTATTTTAAGTGTTACACAACTTTGAATCTAATGTTTTAAATGCTGCGAAATAAAAGCAGGCCTATTCAGTAAAATATTTCTAAAGCAGTACAAGCAGTTAAAAAAGACAAACTTTGGTATTTATGCTTCATCACCTTATGAGAGACACGAGCTAAACAGCTAGATGGATCAGAGACCCTTACGGTCCAGATCCAGCCATTTCTAACTCAGAATACCGGAGGAAGGAGCGAACAGTTAGCAGGACCCGCCGCCTATTATGTGACAACTCTTAATCGAATAGTGAGACTGACCTCACAGTTTCAACGTCCACACAGCTGAAAGTACGGAAAGTATTCGGCTTGACCCTTGTACTATTGAACCTTGACTCAGCACGCTTACCACTAGATCACGCCCGGTCATACATAGACTTTAATACATAATCTATACGATCTTTGTCCACATACCTGATAAGTATACCGCAAAACACTCAGTTTTATATGTAATGGAAATGTCATGATGTTTATTTCAAGTTCGTGCAGCCAATTTATCATATTACAATACTTCATTTCAACGATAACAGTCAGACAATTATAATCAGCTGACGACTTCATTGTTCTAAAAATAATTACTGGTTTCGTACAGGAAATGGGTAAATATCTGAATAAATTACTTTCCCCGACTACTCTGACAGATGTGTGCGGTCATTAAATGAATGTTAGTACTGTTGATGACCACTTCCCCTCGTTTCTTTGGTGCAGTTCGGCTTTGAGATGGTGACCACCAGATAAGAAGGTCAAATTCAGGCGGACAAGAACGACCACGTGTAATTAGAAAGTGAATGTTCTACAATTAGCTACCGAGCACGTGACGGAAAATCACGTTTTTAGACAAGCTAGTCATGAGTAACTAGAAACGTATTTCCATCGCTGGTTTTATAAGACTTGACCTGAAAGGAAAACAAAAATTGTCTCGTTCGTCGACAACCAGATTGTACGTGCATTGAACGCTCTCGTTTTATCTCGACTTTAGTGGTTAACACTTTATGAATAATAATTAATCTACCTGTTTGTCGTCAAAATCGTTTTTACCAAATACATTTTAATGAAATGTGATTTTAATTTTCGTTGCTGTTAATCGTTATCTTATCATCATCATTCGTTGAAAATATTAAATTATGAACGTCTCCATAACTTCGAGATCTTTAAACAATTTCCACGTTGACTTAGAATAAACTCAGTCTACTCAACCTGTACAAAATAAAATTTGCTACACCAACCAACACGAGTATAACAAAATCCTTGGGGTTTCCTATCCTTTTCCTCAATTCAGTTTAATCCTTTTTTTTTCTTCTTAGAATTTGTTTACAAATCCCTAATTTCTTATGTCATAAATTACCATATATATTATGTGCTATTCCTACCCTAATTTCTTATGTCATAAATTACCATATATATTATGTGCTATTCCTACCCTAATTTCTTATGTCATAAATTACCATATATATTATGTGCTATTCCTACCTGGATAACTCGCATATTAAGACCAGTCTCTTGTGCCAGTTGCTCCCGGATGTGACGCGTGGGTTTGGGCGTGGCAGCAAAAGCAGCTTTAAGCATCTCCAGCTGCTTGGCTTTAATTGTTGTCCTCGGTCCACGTCTTTTAGATCCTGGAGCATTCTCATCATTTGGATTAGTCCCAAAATTCTGACCGGTGGAGCTGGTGCTACTATTTTGACCATCACTGTCATTAGTATTTTTATGGTCATTTATGTTATTAGCAACTTCAGTTCCTGTTGTCTGGCTATTGCCATTGGTGCTACCCACCACCCCTGCTGGTGAAGTATAGCAGTCGGAATCTGGACTATTAACTAGAGTCCCGCCTTTCCCTTGTCGAGTGATGACTTCTCGATCCAAGCTATGTTCTTTTTTACTATTGCTACTGGCGAAACCATTCGTGTCAGCGATAGGGTCATTCGATTCATCTATCTCGGTCTGTCCACGTGGAGAACTTGAGACGAGGGCTAAAATTATATTTAAAAAATAAAATATGATAATATACGTATAATTATAACTTTTTTTTTTCTTACAGACCTATGTGTTAGTGAAATTCTAAAGAAGATAAGACTTAATATCCCAACAGAACACCAAACAAAAACAACAAAATAAAACATATCAATATAAATCCTTTAAATAATTAATGGATAGAAAATAACCTTGTAAGATTTGAAAACTACGAAATAATCCTCTTCTGTGTGTTTTTTTAATATAACCTCTAATTACCATAAAACAGTCTCAATAAATAACTTAAAAAATTGACGATTATATTAAACTCAAAGTGATTATTATTTTGTTTTTGTTTTTTGAGAATTATGTTACGTATCGATGCCCCCTAGTGGCACAGCAGCATGTCTGCGGATTTGCAACGCTAGAAACCGGGTTTCGATACCCGTGGTGGGCAGAACACAGATAGCCGGTTGTGTAGCTTTTGCTTAATTACAAAACAAAGAAACAAATATGTATCTATGTTTTTTGTTTATTTATTTATTTTTTGTGGCTATGTGAGAGATCATTTCTCAATAAGAAGTTGAGAATTAACCAATTATCGAAATTGACCTCAGTAAAATGCCGTTCAAAATAACGACCAAATTTGAAAACAAGAAAAAAAAAAGAAGGAAAAATTATAAACGAAAATACTTGGCCTAAAGGACTTTAAACTGACGTAGGTAAGAAATTGTAAACAAATCGTGGCCTAAAGGAGTTGACACTACAAACAATGGGGCCAAAAGGACTATAATGTAAGAAACTGTAAAAAGAACTATAGGAATGATTACCAAACATTCGTGGCCTAAAGGACTTGATACTACAAATAATGGGGCCAAAAGAATTATAATGTAAGAAACTATAAAAAGAACTATAGGAATGATTACCAAACATTCGTGGCCTAAAGGACTTGATACTACAAATAATGGGGCCAAAAGAACTATAATGTAAGAAACTGTAAAAAGAACTATAGGAATGATTACCAAACATTCGTGGCCTAAAGGACTTGATACTACAAATAATGGGGCCAAAAGGACTATAATGTAAGAAACTGTAAAAAGAACTATAGGAATGATTACCAAACATTCGTGGCCTAAAGGACTTGATAATACAAACAATGGGGCCAAAAGGACTATAATGTAAGAAACTGTAAAAAGAACTATAGGAATGATTACCAAACATTCGTGGCCTAAAGGACTTGATAATACAAACAATGGGGCCAAAAGGACTATAATGTAAGAAACTATAAAAAGAACAACTGGAATGATTAAATTGATGTTTATAAGCAAAGTACCCAAAAAAACAACAGGAGCAAAAATTCTGACCAAAACAATGGGGCAAAAAGGGCTTAAAAAGGGAGGTATATAAGCAAAGCATACCAATAAAGCAGCAGATATAATAAACAAGCAAAAGTAGTCAAAAAGAGTTCGAACCTGATGGCGAGTATTAAGACAAGAATAAACAAACATGAATGTGTATCAAATAGGTAAAATACTATATTTTTGACCATGAATACAGTCTATAGACTCTCGAACTAAGAGCTAACCCTAAAAGTGATCATCGTCTAACTTTATTTTAAAAATATAACTTCATACTTCATATCATTTCCAAAGTTACACATACTGACTGATATAACCAAACAACCCGTCAGTATCTATATATATATATACTAAGAGCTAACCCTAAAAAGTGATCATGGTCTAACTTTATTTTAAAAATATGAACTTCATACTTCATATTATTTCCAAAGTTACACATACTGACTGATATAACCAAACAACCCCTCAGTGTCTATATATATATATATATCTATACTAAGAGCTAACCCTAAAAGTGATCATGGTCTAACTTTATTTTAAAAATATTAACTTCATACTTCATATCATTTCCAAAGTTACACATACTGACTGATATAACCGAACAACCCGTCAGTATCTATTTTAAAAAAAACAAAAAACTTTTAAGCACGAAACTTAGCGCGTGAAAGAAAGAACAGGTGCAGACTGTGTATGTGTGTGATGGGGGTTGGATATTTAAAAAATGTAAAATGAAAGTATTCAAAACTTCAACAGGAAGTTAGTATACCTTACAGTAACAATATGCTGAGTTGTAAACGTCTTGGGTAAACCTTTTCAAATATATATATATTTAAAAAAATCAGAGGATAGTGGACCTTCTACACTTTTTAGAATATTGGGGTTGTTGTTGATTTCTTCTAACCAACCCTGGCTACGCTCCAGAAAAAGAGTTGGTTAATTCTTCAAACAGCTGAAAAGCCCTAGAAAATGGCGTGTTCTTAGTAATACCGAGTTAGTACAAACTTTTTGAAAAATAGGCGTTGTTCTTTTTTTATCAGTTCTTTCAACGCAGTATAACGCTATTCCTGATCGGCGTAAAGTTATAATGTAAAATAAAGAAAAAAAAACTTTTAAAAAGTAAGTAAATGTAGGGATAGCTAATATCAATCCTTTAAAAACAATGCAAACAAGATAGTCGGGATGGTATTTGCATCACCCTTACAAAGCGCTCCGCATTTTATGGCTGTGGGTGCGTTATAAGAATGACGGTCAAATCCCACTATATATATATATATAGAAGAGAGAGAGAGAGAGAGTACGTA